GCACTTAACGACGTATAGGTGTATGGTTTGATCCTTACTGTAAAACATCGGTTTGTTATAAATAATACAATTCGTTTTTTGGAAACTACAACACACATTTCATTCTATAAGCTCATTTTATCTACGTCGTTTATGACAACTATACTCCCGAAGAGATGGAAGCGTTCTGACGTGATGAAACTTCATCATTACCTTTTAACAATAAATAATATCATAACAAGTTATCACATAATTAACAAATAAAAACATATTTGCTAATACCTCAGTACCATAAACGTGTTAAACTCTCTGGATTATATGTAAACACCTACAAATCCCAACTGGCATATCAGAGCTTAACTCCAGGACCACAACATATTTCATTGATGTTCTATATAAAATCGTAACGAAATTTATTAATAAAAATTGTAAAAACTGCATTTTCAGATGATTTTTGTTTGCATGTTTTGAATCCAAAAGTAGGTAAGTGCGACTAAAGCCTAGCATGCGATGCTTGCCATGGGCCCATCTATACACAAGTACGAAAAACTAGTAAATAAGGAATAAACTTTTTAGTTAAGCATCATGTAGAAAAACATATATATTATTTAAATATTCTTTTAAATAATTTAGTACAAATGAATATTAACACTTCATTAATAGCATTCTAGTTTATTATATTTCTGAATGCAACACAATCGAAAAAATTTTGTAAAAATATTTTTACTTACGCACAAAAATAAACTCAACTGCTGGCACTCACTCAGTCCCAGAAGAAATAACATTGCAAATATTAATAAATTATTGCTCCATTCCTACATGTACATGTGCCAATCCGTCTGCCCACTTATACGCCTACTCGACCGACTACGTTGAAAACCATGGCGATGTTGTTGCTCGGGCCATTTGGGCTGCTTGTGTCCGAAACCAAAACGCAATGCAACACGCAGGATATGTGCGTCCCAATTTGGAGTACACGGTCTGGTATCGTCTAACGGATGCACCAGAATGGCGCACCTTGCGCATTTTACAAAGGAATATCATGGAGGCTACCATACAACATCTGGTACCCGGACGCGAATATGAATTTATGGTGCTCAGTCAGGATCAATACGGTGACGGAATGTTCAGCAAGCAATTTCGATTTTCAACGCAAGGTACGTACTATACTGTGTATAAAAATAAAAAATATATATTTACGTGTGCCATCTACTGAATAACAAAATAATTACAAATTTCTATGAAAACGTGAAGAGAAGAAAGAAGTTCTGCAACATTTTCATTAAATTTTCTGACATAAGATCCCTAGTAGATAAAGATATAGTAGAAGCATCGCATTTAAATATAGCGGAGGCTTCATAAGAAATGGTTTTTATTTTGAGGACATCTATTGATAATTGTGTGCGCCCCTAATCTCAACTAAATCCTACATTCACCTGATATCAAACAGTAAAAGTTTTAACTTTACGGAAAGATACATCTCACGGCGCGATTACAATTTCGTAGATCCAACGATTTCACAAGGGCACTTTATACAAATATAGCTTAGTCCATCAGTTAACGGGCTTTGAAGACATAATTTTTTTTTGTCACAATAAGAAACATGGGGAAAATGGTGAAGTGTGAAATGAGAAAAGATTGGGACAAGTTTTTAAAGTAATTGCAGTTGCGAATTTTAGGAATAGGAACGGTGCAGCTATGGCTCGGATTACCCACTAAAAGCATGGAGATCCTGTTTTCGGTGAGGGCAAGTACTTGAGACTAGCCTTACCTGCGAGTCCGTCCAGTGAAACAATAGGATCCCTCTCACTCTGTAAACTTGTTTTCTATCCTAAAAATGAAAGATTATATCTGATTGGTTTGTCTCTTTAAGTTTATTCAATTCTTCCTTCACTATGTTACAAAAAACTTTGTCAAACTTAGTTTATACAATAGTACTTACTTTACACAAATACATTCATTGTTCAAAGTATTCGGAATTTTCAAGATTTACAGAAAAAAATTATCAATCGATCGCAATTTATTTTGTCGCATTTAAAGCGCTTGATCCAGTCATCCATAATTTCAGTAAATTTACTTTAACGAACGCAACTAACTCGACATGTTTTCTTTGAGTAGTAATCTTAGCTTCTGGACACAGTGACGGACGGGTTTGTGTCCTCGCAGAACACTCAAAAGTAAAATGCAAAAAAAAACTGAATAAGAAATTAAACTCATGGTAACAATAATTATTTTGAAATTCCGGATACTTTTTACACAAAATGTTACACAAAATGTGTAGTATTAAACCAACAAAAACGAATATTCAAATTTCTTAACATTTACTTTCCATTACACAATAGAATCGATCATTGAGGCTTCCGAGGAATTTTCAAATTCACCACATGAAACCAATCAACTTTCGAGCACTCCAAGCGCACCTTGGAATCTGAGTTTAATCAAAAACCCACAAGGCTGGCTACTGCATTGGGAGCAACCAAAACGCGGGCAAGAGCATTTGGGTTTCTATATTGTCCGCTGGTGGAAGGAGCCTGAACATTTTTTGATTGGCACCGCTGAAACCTTCTCCAACTACTATCAGTTGCGGAACCTCAAAGAAGAGGCCACATTTCAAATTCAAGTTATTGTCAGCACCGCAAATGGAGAGGAAATACCCAGTGAGGTCTTGACCTTCGAAGTGGTTACACATCGTAAAATGCGTGCATTAGTCATCGGCAGCTCGGTCTGCATCATGTTCCTGCTCTGCGCGCTATGCGCCTTCCTCTATGTGAAACGCAATTGCCTGCGGCACTTATTCAGCGGTGACACCGTGGATATGGACGTCGAGGACATCGAGAACTCAAAGGAGAGCGATAAAATCAACAACACTTGAGTATATGAAATCAACTGGAAGTTCCATAACTGAGCCTTATTGGTAATTGTTAATTCCGCCATTCAAGTTTCATATGCGAAGCGTATTTCATTTTTTTCGGTTTTATTTTTTGAAAAAAATTTTAATATTAAACTAAGTACCGCCATAAGCATTTGAATAATTATTTTATTTTACGAGCTTAACAAATGTCGAAAAAATATTGTATTTATTTAATAAAACTAATAAAAAAAACAAGAAAAATATATAATGAATGAGAATTTTTTTATTTTCATTTGAAATTTCAATTAATATTTCAATCAAAATGCATTAATTAAACTTTAAATGAATAATATAAATGTTTAAGTTAACGGAATGAAATAAAACAAAACCATTTAAACAAATAATATTTAATATAAAATAATAATATTATTTCGAACAAATAAAACTTTATTGAATTTACGATTAAGTAAAAAATCGAGTTGTGTGTTTTTATAAAAATAGAATAATGGTGTAGTCTACTACTTTTTCTTCATACCATGACCCACCATAGACTTACGGGCCCCTCAACGGCTGTTTTATTTTTTGTCTTCGACAACTAATTGAACCTTCATGGTTGTTTTTCTGTTTTGGTTAAATGAATTAAATACACCTAATAGAAATGCCTGTCTTTAGGTCTTATGGTGTAACTAATCATAGCTAATATAAGACGTTCACAAGCCTAACCCTAAGTTCACACGATCTGTGTCCTCCAATTTATTTATATAGAATTATAAGAATATATAATAGTCAAATTGCCTCCCTATACAGCTACAGCCTTTAATTGAGAAACACTAATCGAAATCTTTAATGGAATATTGCGCGATCTACCTGTTACTCATGAGAAGAAAAACGTCCGCACATGGACCGAAATTTTCATATCTTTAAGTAGTCAGAAAATATTCTTAGTAATATAATTGTAATTACATGAAATATAAAATCCTCATGAATATATGCACAAATAATACATAAGAGTAATAAAAATAGTCCATTTTTGTCACCACAGAAAAATTTAAGCCACACTAACCTTACAGAATCTTAAAGAACTTAAGATAACTCTACTCTTATCCGGGAAACTGAGTCGTTTTAACAAGCGAAAGATATAGACGTCTTCTGAAGGATGCCTTGCAGGGACAGAACAGATAAGCAACATTTTCTCTTCCGTCCTCTGCTCTAACTCACAATGAGAACAGTAGTCATTAAACTTTATTCGCATGGCAATCTAATACAAGGGGGACACGTTCCTGAATTTTACTTTTGACACGTTACTCTGAATGGTTTTCTTTTGTTACGATGGGACATGGTCCTGAGGTAAGTGTGGGTTTTCTTATGGTTATAGCGTCGTAGTCAACGAAACTATTGAGTTTCGGTGTGCTAATAATATTCTTAAGTTAAATACACTCTTCTGCCACACCTTCCACAGAAATAATCATGTAAAGTTTATTATACAGTCTAAAAAGTAGCTCTTAAACGACTCGAGATACTTTGAATGTGCGAGTCTTCGAACAAACATATCATCAATAGCCATTGTAGATAGATGAGGTGTTGGTAAAGCCGACATCTCATTCTAAAGTAATGTTACTTGCGTGGAATTGAATTATAAATCTTCCCCAAATAAGTATTCAAATATTCGGTTAGGAAGTTTAGATTGGCTTGTTTAAATTTATATACGTAGCTGTCGGTTGAAATTGAAATTAGCGTTCGGTTTATTGTTTAGCGATGCTGGCAAGGACTTTATCTTCTAGACTTCTTATTTGGAATTCTTATAGCTTTATGGATGTGATTATTTACAGAGCTGAATTTTGAAACTTTCTAAAGTTCAGAGGAAAACTGTTGCTCTGAGTTACTTAAATGGACATAGGAAGCAATTATCTAATTTGATTTTAAACCTCAATGAATATTTCTTATTCATTAGCGGTGATGACAACAACTTGATTTTAAAATGTGACCATTCCTCTCTTGACGGCTTTGCTCCATGGGCGCTTCTGCAGTCTAGCAGTCTACATTGAGCAAGGTTAGTACTTCTGCAACTTGAACCTTCACCGTATGGTCTCTTTCCTTGCATCTTCTTTCACCCACTTCATCCCGCTTCAAACGCTATTACATTAGAAAATCATCTTCCACACAGAACTCTGATGAATCCATAGTAACACCTGTTGGGATGTCAATTCTTCGTCTTATGTTCGGGTCGATATGATAGTTTTGGGTTATGATGATAATAACTTTGATAATATAGTCTCCAAAAGCTATGTCGGCGGCTGGAGCCCTGTTATGTGCGTCTTTGTTTTTTATTTAAAGATTCAGAAAAATTGAGCTGCGAAAGAGTAAAGTAAGGTTAAGGTGAACTCTGTCAAGTCTCAGATATCAGATAGGATATGCGAATGAAGGTTTAATAAAAAAGTGAATCGAAACAGCTTTTATATTGTGGCATCCGGTGTATCCGGACTCTTTTGATTATAACTGCCGTCACTGACAATCTATTTGCAGTCACTCATAAGTAGGCTTTGCAAGCAACATAAACGAAATTTGGAAGTTTTATATAAATATTTATTTTTTGTAAATTCGTTTGTTAATTTATGCTAAGAATTGCCAAAAAACTACTAATGGGTTTCGATCTCTACTGCAAGCTTTTTTATGGGAACTGTTCAGCCGCCGACACAGACAAATACCGTATTATTACGATATGTGTAAGCTTCAGAAAACTTTCCAACAAAGACCGTATGAATAGAACCTGATTCCGTTCTTCGGTTTTCAGTGAGCTTTTAATGCAGCACTGCCTTACCGTTGCGGTTTCGTTGTTAAAATTGCGTTAAGTTTGTTTTAATACGCGTTCCAAGACAATTAAAATCCAAGGGCGTAGTGAGTCCTTGCAGGGGGGCTGAATTAAGATTTAGAAATAATTCCGGGGAAAATTTTGTTTTTAATTGGTCGAGAATTATAATTATCGCAAATAAAATGAATAATCAAATGAATTGAAAATATTTGTGATTCATCTCAGTACTTTTATAAAAAGTAAGTTGCCATTTTGAGGTGTCTGCCAAACCACTCTAGTACCTAGAGTCTTCGTCTTATTGTCTTCAACATCATTGTCATGAATCAATGGTAGTTTAGATACATTCTTTGAGTCGAAAGAGTAACTCATCACTCATCACTTAATTTTTATAATAATTTTATGAATTTATAATGACGGATGAACATTTAGATTATATTTTTCCTTAAAAATTAATAATTAAGATTTTTTCGTTTTGCTGTGAGATATTTGGCTAAATTACGATAGTTAGTAGTAGTAGTTTTTTCACAATTTCTGCTGTCAAACGATCCAGTAATGCCGCGTAGTAGATACTATTGATGGTTTTCCCTTTTTGAGATAGTTAATGAAGATTATACCAAGTGCATCCCAAAATACTGAAGCCTAACCTTCCCAGCTGCTTGTTGTGCTTTTGGATGCTTTGGACGTGGTTCACCGGCTGTAGTCCACTCAGATCGTTTTGATTCTGGAGTGAAGTGATGGATCCATGTTTCATCCATTGTCACATATCGACGCAAAAAATCTAATTTATTACGTGGCACCAACTTTGAAAAGAGCTTTCTCATGGTCAAATGTTCATGCATAATTGGAAACACATTGGCTTCTGTTATCTTTAGGGTCTCAGCTATTTCATGCAATTTCAATTTACGATCAGATATAACCAATTTCTGGACTTTTTTGATGTTTTCTAGAGTAACCACCTAAATTGGACGGCCAAAACGTTCGCTATCATCGGTGTCTGTGCAACCACATTAAAATTCAGCAATCCTATAACAAATGGTTTTTCTCAATGGAGCAAAGTTCAAATAACACTTTTGAAGCCATTGCTGAGCTTATTCAGTATTTTTTTTCATCAAGAAGCAATGATAAATGAACACACAAAATTATTTTGAATCCATTATTTTGAAAATAGCAAAAATAGCTTCACTTAAACGGCTATCACTTTTTCCTGACTAATCGAAATGTCATGAAATTTTACACATAGTCTTTTGAAGGTTAGTATTTCATAAACGTCATATAGATTTGACAATGGCAGCGCCATCTGTGTGTCAGTTGTACGACTTATTGATTGCTGTACTATTATCTAGAAATATTCTATTGAAATACCTATACGTTACGCACTGTATCTGTACACCTTTTATGGTACATACTCACATTTTGTTCATTGTGACCAGAATAATTCAAATATTTTTCTCAGCGTTTTGCATTCACGTCATGTCTTAACAAAGACAACTCATACACTATAACCAACATAAGACCTCTGAAAGTTAGTCACATTAATTCATTAAATAATTGTCCAGAGTTGACCAGAACACATATTGATATTCAATAACTATAAACTGCAGGAGGGATAACTTCATTTAAGTAATAAAACAAAAGCGATATTGAAGGGACTTACTCTCTGATGTCCTGAATTGCAAATCCTCAGATAACAAAATTGTTGTATGGTTTTGCTATGTCTGTCATTTTATTTGGCTGGTTTGAAGTAACGCACAGTTTGATTTTTTTTCAATCTCGCAACTTCAAATAGGATGGATATTGACGCAATAAGAATTCTCTTCGATACAACATATCTGTATTTGATCATTAAATTTTGTGTTAAATTATGCCTCAAAAATGCTCTTATTTACTCTTAAAAATCCTTTCATATAATTAAGAGTGTTATTCAATCGGTGATATGGCAATTTTAAAAAAGTTCATCATTCATTTCGAAACTGATAGTATATTTACATTCAAAATAGATTATAAAAATTTAATGTGAAAATCAGTGTTCTCAGAAAGGGATACGTAGCGCTTACTCACATTGGGTCAATATTATCGACCCAATGGACATTGTCCATTCCAAAAACAGTTGAAAAATTTTACCAACACATTGAATCTTTTGGACACCAAGCCACCATAAAAAGGCACACAAATGAAACCAACGCCATCTGTGAGACCACTACCGATGAAAAGCCTAATTGATCGATTTGACATCGTTCATAAGAACTTGATTTTTCTAAATCCATAGACGACAGCCCTATTTCCTAGTAAACATTCCTGATACATAAATAATCACCCCAGCCGCAAACCTACTGTTTCCAAACTTATTTTCTCTA